CCCCAGAAGTGTGTCAAACTTAAGAGGCAAACAGGAAATCATGGGATTTTTAATGTTAATCTACAAATTAGTAGTTTTGTACATGCTGTGGGAGAGGTGGCAATTTCAGAGGAACTTGACTGAAAGGAAGAGATGTTTGAAGCTTGGTGGGAGTATGGGGTGGGAAGACAGGCAGGATATGTCGTGGACAAAAAAAAGATGGGAAATAAATGAGTTTATTTAAAGATTGCTGAGGCTGATACACTAATAGAACGTAAACTGAGTAGGAACATGATAAAAAGCTCTGTCAAATATTTACATTTTTGATGCTGGTGTTCAGGTAGAGTGTGGTGTTACAATGAAAATGGCCATAGGAGTAGGGTTGTGGCAGACCTGAATTTACAACTATATGCATTGCTTAAAGAAAGGATAATTTAGGAAGTACCTTTGTCTCTTTTTTTGGTATTTATTTCATCTAGTGTTGTTCTCTCAATTTTCTGTTTTTCATTTGCTAATATTCTACCTTTAATATTGTTTTGATTATAAATCTTACTCTATAAGCTAGTCACGACATGTACCACTATTTTTCTTCTTTAAAATATTTCTACCATAGAGGCTCATAATTGTTGTAGATGCCTTCAGGCATGTTTCTGGGAAGCATGGTATGAATTTTATAATGCCTAGACACCAATTACTTTGGTTTAGGGGGATAATGTGTTTTTTTTTTTTTTTAATGCCAAAATCTAGCAAAATCTCGTTAGCTAATTATTTCACTTGTGTTTTTGTAGGCTTGAAATGCTGAATTGCTCTCCACTGTTTTTTTTTGAGGGGGTTTGTCTGGATCAGATGGACTGTTTTCAACTTCTTTTTCAATTTTTAGAGATTCTTTATGTGTTGCTTTCCTGTCTGTAGACTTGTAACACACCTGAAATGTTTCTACACCAATGCATGCAGCCTGAGGAGCAAACAAGAGGAGCTCAAAGCTTTGGTCCAGTCCCAAAGATTTGATATCACTGGCATAAGCAAAACCTGGTGGAATGAGTCCTGTGACTGGAGTGCCCTGTTGGATGGTTACAGGCAGTTCAGGAGGGATAGGCAGGGCAGAAGAGGTGAAGTGGGTATGTAATGGCAGGGTTAGAATGTATGGAGCTCACAGTTGGCAATGGCATAGTTGAGAGCCTCCCAGTAAGAATTAAGGAGCAAACAAGTAATGTGGATGTCATTGTGGGAGTCTGCTGTAGACTTCCCTGCTGGGATGAGGTTGCCAACTAATTATTCTTTGAGGAACTAAGGGGTACTTCCAAATCAACTGCCCTTGTCCTTATGAGGGACTTCAACTTACCAGAAATCAACTGGGAGCATCACACAGCTGATACAACCTAGGCCAGAAGATCCTAAAAAACCCGGATGACAACTTTATGGAACAGGTCCTAAGGGAGCTGACTTGGAAAGATGCCCTCCTTGATCTGCTGCTTGTCAACAGAGTGGATCTCATGAGCAAAGTGAGATTGGGGGCTGTCTTGACCACAGTGAACACAAAGTGATTGAATTTAAAATCTCTGTTGACAGGAGGAAAAGTACCAGCAAATCCTCAGCTCTGGACATGAGGAGAGCAGACTTCAGGCTGCTCAGGGAATTAGTAAGTAGGGTCCTCTGGGAAAATGTTTTTGCAGGTACTGGGATCCATCAGTGCTGATCACTTTTCAAACATCACCTCCTAAGGGCATAGGAGCAGGAAATTCCCAAATGTTGGAAGTCAGGCAGGAGAGGCAGAAGGCTGGCTTGGCGTATGCCCAGTGAAAGAAAGGTCAAGAGACATGGGAAGAATTCAGAGATGCTGCTTGCCTCTGTAGGGAGAAAATTCATGTGGCCAAAGGTCATCTGGAGTTGCAGCTGGTCAGAAATGTGGGGGACAATAAAAAGAGTTTTTTCAAATACATTAATGGCAACAGACAGTATAGAAATATCATTGGCCTGTTACAGGGTGAGGATGGTCACCTCACAAACAGGGACAGAGACAAGGCAGAGGTGTTTAATACTTTCTTTGCCTCTGTCTTCAACACAAGTGACAGACCAAGGGGATCTCAGTGCCCTGAGCTGGAGGACTATGACTGCGAGAATGATCAACTCCTGTCGACCCTGAAATTGTGTGGGATCTGCTGCTCCAGCTGGATACCCACAAGTCTATGCAGTCTGATGGGACTCGTCCCAGAATCCTCAAAGAGCAGGCTGATGTCATTGCAAAGCCTCTCTCAGTGATTTTTGAGTGGTCTTGGGAATCTAGAGAGGTCCCAGCTGAGTGGAAGCTGGTGAACAGTGTTCCGATTTTCAAGAAGGGCAAGAAGGAGGACCAAGGAAACTACAGGCCTGTCAGTCTCACTTCAGTGCTTGGTAAAATTATGGAGAAGACTATTCTGGGAGGTATTGAAAAACACTTGAAGGAAAATACAACCATTGGTCTCAGCTAGCATAGCTTCATGTGAGGAAAGTCCTGCTTATCCAACCTGATTTCCTTTTATGACAAGCTGACTCACCTAGCTGATCAAGGGAATCCAGGTGATGTAATCTTTTTGGATTTCAGTAAAGCTTTCAATACTGTCTCTCACAGGATCCTTCTGGACAAAATGTCCAGCACACAGCTGGATAAACACATCATGTGGTGGGAGAACAATTGGCTCATGTGTTGAGCACAGAGTGTAATAATGGATGGGGAAACATCAGACTGGTGACCTGTCTCCAGTGGGGTTCCGCAGGGCTCCATCTTGGGCCCTGTGCTCTTCAAAATCTTCATGAATGACTTGGATGCGGGACTGGAGAGAATACTATGCAAGTTTGCAGATGACACAAAACTGGGGGGAGCTGTTGACTCCCTTGAAGGCAGGGAGGCCGTGCAAAGAGACCTCAACAAATTAGAGGACTGGGCGATCACCAACCCTATGAAGTTCAGCGAGGGAAAGTGCTGAATTCTGCACCTGCAATGGGGTAATTCTGGATGTATGTACAGACTAGGAAATGAGACGCTGGAAAGCAATGCCAAGAAGAGGAACCTGGGGATCCTGGTTGATGGCGAGTTGAATCTGAGTCAGCAGTGCCCTGGCAGCCAGGAAGGCCAACCATGTCCTGGGAGGCATCAGGCAAAACATCACCAGCCAGTCAAGGGAGAGGATTGTCCCTCTCTGCTTTGCACTGGGGCAGCCTCACCTTGAATATTGTGTGCAGTTTTGGGCACTGCAATTTAAGAAAGATACTAAGCTCACAGAGAATGTCCAAAGGAGGGCAATGAAGATAGTGAAGGGCCTTGAGGGGAAGCCGAATGAAGAGCAGCTGAGGTCACTTGTTCTGTTCAGCCTGGAGGAGACTGAGAGACCTCACTGTGGTCTACAACTTCCTCCTGAGAGGAAGAGGATGGACAGGCACTGATCTCTTCTCTGTGGTGACCAGTGACAGGATCTGAAGAAATGGCCTGAAGCTGTTTCAGGGGAGGTTTAAGTTGGATTTTAGAAAAAGCATCTTCACCCCGAGGGTGGTTGGGCACTGGAACACGCTCCCCAGGGAAGTGCTCCCTGCACCAAACCTGTCTGAGTTCAAGAAGCATTTGGACAATACTCTTGGGCACATGGTGTGACTCTTGGGGGTGTTCTGTGCAGGACTCAATGATCCTTGTGAGTCCCTTCCAATCCAGCACATTCTGTGATTCTGTGAATCTGTGAAATTGGCCTGTTAAAACATTAGTACACTCTTGAATTACAAAACATTATATAAAAAAAAGCAAATATAGCATTTTAAAATCTTCTTGTAATTGTGAAGTGAACGGACTTTACCAAGTATCTTTGTTTTTTTTCAAGGTAGTCAGATATCTAACTTGGTTTTAAAATTTGTCAAAGTTGGATCAGTAAGTCCAGTCAGGTTTTAGGAAAGTCACTGATTCTTTTTTTAATATGATTTAAATATGAAATTCCATATGAATACAAAGATTAAATTGTTAAGTAGTGCCTTGTGGACCAAAAGCTTTTATAAGGAGATCATAGAATCACAGAATGGTTTGAGTTGGAAGAGATCTTAAAACTCACCTAGTTCCAACACCCCTGCCATGAGCAGGGACATCTTCAACTAGATCAGGTTGGTCAGGGGAACATCCAATCTGACCTTGAATGTTTCCAGGGATGGAGCACCTACTCTATTCTAGTGTTTTACTATCCTCATAAAAATATAAATATATGCTATCTATATAAAAATATCCATCATAAAAATTTTCTTCCTTATATCTACCCTCTTTTAGTTTCAAACTATTACCCCTTGTCCTATCACAACAGGCCCTACTAAAAAGTCTGTCCCTGTCCTTCTTCCAGGACCCCTTTAAGTACTGAAAGTCTGCAATGAGGTCTCCTCTGAAATCTCATGTATGAACATAAAAGTATACCAGTGTAATCTTGACTGTTCGTATTTGGGAATAAGAAAGAGCTTATCCTTTTACTCAGTTCTAGAAGAATTATTCTCAGCTCATCTGATTTGCCTGTTCAGCTGGGGGCCCTCGAAGAGATTTCACATTGACTCTCCTGGCATAGAGGAAGAGTTTGTGAGGAAGATTCAGTTCACATATGTGAATTTCATTCCCTGTCAGGGAGATTTTGCTGAAATAACTAAGTTTCATTCTGTGTATAAAGTTGTAACCTTCTTTCATTGCATTCAAAAGATAGAGATACGGGCTCAAAAGCAGATCAATTATTCACTGAATAGTACCTTGTGCGCAAACAGAAGGCATTTACCTCAAACCCTGTTGATGCATCATGTAATAAATCTGACAGTTATGGCTTTTTGTCTTATCTTTCCTTGCAGTGTTCATTAAAGTGTTTCTCACTTGTAACAGATGGTCAGAGCACAGCTTTGAAATTTGTCTGAAGATGAAGCCCTGCTGATTCCATTAAAAGTGAAGAATTTTTGTGGAGATGGAGACAAAGAGGGATTTATTTTTACCATTATGATTATTTCATACAATGTCTTCCTTTCCTTTTTGCTTGCAGGTGATGTGCCTTCAGGATTTTTTTGGTGATGATGACATTTTTATTGCATGTGGACCAGAAAAGTTCCGTTACCAGGATGACTTCTTGCTGGATGAAAGTGGTAAGAAGATGTATTTTCCAAAATTTTTACAACCAGAGTTGAGGGCAGATTTCCATATCATGCTAATTAAGCTAAAGCTGTATCACCTAAACTTATTTCCAAAATAGAATAAGTATTTTGATTCTAAATATGGAAAATAAGAGGTCTGAAAGCAACATTAAAGCTATCTGCCTATGCAGCATAAAATTTGACTTCAGCCTGTTTCAGATACCATAGGAAATAGTTATGTGTTTGGTGGAAAACTCCTTTTTTGGTAAGATCTTTCTTAGTGTTTTGGCTTTATTTGCTCTTTGAATTTGTTGTGTTTCTTGATCACAATCTCTCAGACTTCCAGCTCTTACAATTGAGAAACTTGACTGAAAAATTGTTTAGAGAGAATTTCTTTACGGTAGTATCTATTTCATAGTCATTATGTGCCTACTTGTTTAACCTCAACACTTCATCATTGGTTTTGATGCATTTATATATTCACAATTCAAGATGGTGCAATTGTATTTCTCTGACTAACCTGTGAAACTGGAGGGCTTCTCGGTTTACCTGGATCCAGACAAATGCTCCATTAGCTTGTGAGGAGAAGGCAGCAACTTGTGAAGACCTGACGTTGTGAGTTAAAGGATGACTGAAAAAAGAGGTATCTTCTGGGCAAGGGAATTACGTTTTGTATCAGACGCAGACAGAAGCAAGAACATATTCTGCCTTTCTCAAGAGGACCTCGTAATATGGAAATAAAAATCAAATAGTACCAGATCTGCTGTTTGAAGTAATGAAATTGCTGTTAGTTGCCTCCAAGGTAAAATGTACTAACTGTGGAAAAATAGCTTTATACATCTTTAGGATGGAAATTAGAAAGGTAAGGAAGACATTTGAGCAGTAGAGGAGTTTCCCAGGTGGCTATGTGGCCAGCATGGCAGTCCTTGCCTTTGATGAGAGGAGGGTCAGGTAGCTGACTGCGTAGTCTGGATTCACTTGTGTCTCTTATCTAAAAGATGACATTTTGTCAGTGTCTCCTCACAGTGAATCCTGCGGTGGTTTTTCCAGCGCTGACTCAAGAAGTGCTGACAACAGATTTGTCTAAATCCCTTTTTGAAATACATAGCTGTTTTTTGGAGGTGTCATATCAAAGTACGGACATAGCTGCTTATCTGCTATCTGCTTAGTCTTTAGTTGTCTGACATATCAGCATCTTTTTGAGTAAGCACTAACTCTCTCTAAAACTCTGGTGCTTAAAATCATGTTATACTGAGCTTAAAAAAAAAAAAAGAAAAGCTGAAAGGCTGAAAATACAACTTGTATGATCTATTTTTAGTAGTGTTTGCTTTTCTACTAGGTAAAGATTCAGTGAACATTTATTGTTTTTACTGAAGGAGTGAAGAAAAGAGAGAAAATCAGATTCCAGTCTATGTCTCTAATTGCTTTGAGAAGTGTACGTCAACTTTGCTCTCTCTTTCTTGGGAGGTTTGGTATCAGAGAACTTGTTAGCTGATGTACTAACTGATATACATTTAGTCAGCCTCCTCTGAGGTTGGACCAAGAGTTGGGGAATTACAAAAAAAAAAAAAAAAAAGAGTTTAAACTTGTTTGCCTGGTAAATTAAATTTGTGTGATCGTAGTGTGTTGTTAATCTAAGAACATTACAATAATTAGGAAGTGCTGTCCAACTATGCAAGTCTTGTAAAGCCTGTCTCTTTTTCCCTGAAAAGCAACTTGAAGCAATACTCTGCTAGTCTGTCACTACGTCCCTCCAGTATTTCTGTTTCAGCCGGATGATGAGAATAACAGTTTAAGTGTTGCAGCTGGAGGAGCAAAGAATAGCAAAATTAAAAAGTGGGAAAGAAAAGGAGAGATAATAAATACGTAAACAATCAGGGTCCTGGGCTTTTGGGAATTACTTCTCAGGGAGGAAGAATGCCCTTGTTTTGTGGTCTGGGTTCAGAACTCCTGATACTAGAGGCGAGCAAGAGACAAAGTTTCTGGGATTGGAAAACCTGTTCTGGGATTCCTTTTAGCTAACATTAGGTATCAAGAGAGTAGGTACCTGCAACTGAGCCATTCACAGTAGGTTTCTTTCCCAGTAAATAAAACTTAGATCTATTGACATGATAGATGGCAGATGTTTGATCAACTCAGTTGAAAATGTATGTTTCAAACAGTTCATGTGAATTATGCTCCAGAAATGTCTGGTTTGCTTTTGTAAAGGCATCTATATGCCTGATTTACCTGTTTTTATTTACACTGTATGTCTCTAAATTTGCTGAAAAAAACTTTTAGGATGAGATTAATTCCACCCTATCAGAAATGAAAAGTCAAAGGCTCATCAGTCTGCATTATCTCTAGTCATCTTTCTTTATTCTGCTCCAGTGGCTTGCTCTTGCCAATGGATAACACCTTCTAAATAGAGTCAGAAATTTAGAAAAGCCAGCCTACAAGTTAGTGAACAATCTCCCCATGTAAGTGTGGGATTACCACTCCCCATCTCATTTCTGACATGCTTGTCTAATAAACCCCTTTAATGCCTATGATGAGGGGGAATCTGTAGCCTCCAGTGATGTTCTGTGCCAGTGGTGAACCCTTCTCACTGTTTTTTGGCTATCTTGGCCCAGATTCCCTTGCTATAAATGAAACTCATTACTACTTTTCTTATCTCCTGTGAACATGGGAAACAGATGATTCCTTTCTCTTTGAAAAGATCTGTGGGCTTCCAAGAGCCTCATCAATTTTCTTTTCTTTGGCTGAACAATTAGTTCAACTTTTCTTTGCTTTGACTTCAGGCTCAAACCTGTCCTTGAAGAAGGGTGTGTGTTCCTTCTTTATATCATCTTCCTTCTCTGTTTTATGTCTTTCGGGAAGAGGCATTACATATCCCCTTGGCAATCAGTTTAAAAAAGTCAGTCAATTAGAGATCCATCAAAGAGAAAAGACAAGCAGTCGGCACTATACATTGCAGTTTCTTCTCTGCCTTGATGTACAGATGGTTTTCATATTAAAAACACTGTTTATTGCATGAAATGCAGGAACCATAGGCACTACCCCCATTGTAATTCCTAGCAATCATCTCCATATCTTACCTTATCAGTAGATATGACAGCCACAGACACTTCCATCAAGAAAACTGCAAATGGGACGTGAAGATGCATGTGAGTGGGCATAAAATTAAGAAATAAATACTTCTGGTTTGTCAAGCATCAGTAGTGATGCTATTTTTGTAGAAAGTTTATGTGGGAAGTGTAAGCACAAAAGTATTATTTTAATGAAGGACACATGACATCAGCCACCTTGTAAGAAGAAAAATTCCTCGTTGTAGAGTATGGCAGTGGCTGCTTCAGGCATTGTTAACTTGCAGTTTTGGAAACTTTCCCAAAAATCACGTTTTCTTTAGCTGATGGTTGTTCAGTTTTCAAAGAGGCCAGAGGATGGTTTTCTATAGACTTCAGCTGTGTCTTGGCCGAGATTAGGGTCTAAGGGCCACGCTCACAAAAATATTTGCAATCAGCTATAATTTAGGCACCTAAATAGGATTTGGCAATATAAATAACTCATGAGATTGGCCCTAAATGAGAACATTTCCTTGGCTTATACATGTATTTCTTTCTTAGCACTGTAAAATAAGGGAGTTTTTGAGACTGGCAATATCAGGCTTAGATTTTTAAAAATAATTAATTTTTATGTTCAGTTGATGTTGGCTGAGTGCTTTGGAAGCTTAAGAGTTGCACAAACCTAAGTACGGCAGACTTCATCGCATTCTGAGATGCATCATATATACAAAAGCTGCAGTCTCAGCTGGCCAAAGCAAGTGTCTCTGCCTCCAAGTAAAGTGTAACTAATATAGAATGTCTGGACGTGAAAACAACTGCAGATTGCTTGTCCAAAGCACATATTACTGTGATGGAAACAATGATGAGAATTACTCTATTTTAGGGGGAAATTAAGACTGGAATCTTTGAAACCTAATTTCACTTTGCTGGCCTGTGTTAGTCCTCTGCTCAGCATCTCTGTGCCAAGCAGTGTTACTGCTTCATCTTGCCAGCAGCAGACAACTTGCCAGGAAAATCTGAGTCCTGTGGTGTCCACACACATGTGTGTACGCATGGAGGCATGCACACGCATCTGATCCAATAACCATGGTTAAGGTCAGGAGTATCATGTTTATCCCTGCTAATAACTGTCATATTACTCTAACTTTCATTAATCTGTCTTTCCTGAAAGAGGGAGGAAGGGGAAATAAGTTATAGTCCTCGTCTACTCTGATTTATAGGACAGAGACTGATGTGCTAAGCAGCTTTTGGCTGGACTTAGGAGTGGAGAGCATGCTGGCTGACTTACTCTGCCCTCTTCAAAAACTCGTGCTTTGGCAATTGGAAAGTAGTGGTGGGTTCTGGGGACTTTGAGATATAACTTTGCTTTCAACAGAGGCATAAATACAAAGTGTTCCACTGCTGTGTGATATTTTCAAATGTCAACAACTTCTTGGCCTTGGAGACAGATATTCTGTGTATGAGGCAGAAACAAACTAAGGCAGGAGGGACCAGTGCTCTGGCTGCATGTACCATTTAGACTAATGGTTCAGAAAGGGTAGAAGAAAAGAAGTTGTTCTTCTGGTGGATTTGCATCCAATGCCTCCTTTATTTTCCTACTCCGGGACCTCCATTTTCATCTCTGCCCTTTCATTGGGCTGCAGACAATTGGCAGAGTACTCTCAGCTCCCTCCCATTCAGCACATCACTACTTGTCCTCATTTCCTTCCTGACAATAATGACATTAACAGGGTCTCTCATTCATCCAGAATTGTGACAGTTTCACAACTTTCTGAAAAACTATATCCCCTCACTGAGACCACCCGTGTCCAGCTGTGCTGAAAGTACATCCCCTCCTCCCTTGGCCCATGTGCCCATCTCGGCTCATGCTGCATGGAAGTACTCGGCCATATGGCAGTGTAAGTGACTCACTTGTTTCTGTTGTGTTAAACTCTTAAAAGGCAAATGCTGATCTTCAGTAAAGACTCA